ATATAATATCTTCTCTTAAAAAAACACATTACTGTTTGTGAGGTTAGGATGGCACAGGCTCACACAAATAAGTATTTACAAGGCATTCAGCAACTGCCTTTCCGCGGGAAAGGTGACAAAGCAACAAAAAAGTTCAGCTGATTTCTCAGAACATCCCACTTAACCTGATCAATTGCTTACAAAACCGCACAAATGCGGTCAGATATGGACTATTCTGATCCAACAACGCCATTTACACCGCTCGCACCTGAGAGATCTCGTAGTATGGTGAGCAGCCGTACGCCACAGCCAGGTACCCGTCGCCGTACGTGGTGACGTCACCGACGCTGAACTGCCTCGGGTAGGTGCCCGTTGCTCGGCCCGCCGCGCGGAGGTTCATCTGAAACACCGATGAAAACAATGACGGCGTTGCACACAACCTTTGGAGATGATTGAGCGACATAGTGTAACATGAGTATTGCGACACAAAGCATGACGGAGTACAAATGAGCTGAGAAGAAGAAGAAGAAAGAGTCTTGATATTCAAGGAGACCACAAACTAGTAATATGAGAAAACGGGACATTCATATATGGTTGAAGCAAATGACTCGTGGGTTGGCAACGACGTGGCAACAAAGTATAGCTGAAAAACACACAATGCACACCACATATCAGAAAACATGTTGGACACTATGACGTTGCACAAATCGTCAAAAGCGACCAGAGCATGAACAAATTCATGCACACAGGTCTGAAGGAATACGCACAATTACATTTGCGCGCCAAACTCATTTTTACAGTCCCATGTAGGCAGGGGTGGTGAAAGCTTTTTCTTTGTCGCCGACCGAACTTCTGTGGACGGAATTTCCGCCATCAGGGTAACGCGATACCACATGATATGAAATGGCAATGACGTCCATGCTTAGTAGCGTCATCAGTAATTGGCGTATCACCGAGGGCCTCTTGCAGCACTGCACCTTGCAGTATCTTGCGCATGACCGGAACACTCGGTTCACAAAATATATTTTAACTAATGCCAGGATACCTGTTGCATCGAAGAATGCAGAAACATCGACCATAGACAATGGGATAGTCCAGTCACAAAACAGTCTTTTCCCACCTTCACAGTTTCCCCTCGTCCTCATCTCCTACGATGGCCGTGCGGTGCGAGTTATTGTGTTGACTCGGTGTTGGTGTTGTTTGCAGGACTGTATAGCACATAGTCGCGTCTGCTCCGGACTTCAGCTGGGACAAAAGCAGCCTTTCTACAACTGGCTGCTGGAGGGTGACCGGTTCTGATACACGGCTGAAGGTGAACAGGCTCTCCGAATAAATGTTGTGCACTGATTTGGAGTATATTACACTGGCATCTCACCAGTATGTCAACTATCAGCAGAGTGCTGTCATATTTTGTTCGGCTGCATTGAACCATTGTAAGCGTTTTTTCACTGACATCCCCCAGTATATCGACTAACTACATCCATATTACACAACTAGTCTGGACATAGTATCTTTTTTGTGTCATTTACTCTCCTAGCTGCTCGGGAAAAATATTCCTAAGCTGCTCACAAATCACAGCAAATCGCAATACATGTTGCACCCATTCTTGTGTAGAGTGCCTCTTCTGCCTACCTCTAACAGAGGTGCATGTATCGTTGCAGAGGAGCTCCAGCTGGCCCGGATCCCCAGCCTGCCGATCATCAGGAAGTGGAATGCTTCTTCACGCGCTTCGACGGGGAGCGGTACGGGCCGATCGCTCCGCTGGCCATTCTCTTCCCGGAACCGCGGCGTGGGCGTGAGACAAAAACGAACTTCATCGAGTCTCCGATAGATGGCAGCGACAGCGACTGGGAAGACTACGTCAAGGATGAATAGGAAGAATGGAGACCGGCACCTCCCGCGGTGTGGATGGGCGTTTGGCCAGAGATCCTTCCCGAAGACTCAGATGATGAGGATGACACTGATGGTGTTGCCGTGGCCGGTGACGGTGGCCCGGTGAACCAATGATGGCTGTGTTGTGGCTGTGCGGAAAATCACAGGGGTGTTCTGAACATCTCAGCGGCTTCAGCTGCTCCGTATGACTGCACATATGCATATATTTTTGTGCAGGTGCTTTGTGTGCACCGAATCAGTGTCATTTTTCTGTGATTGCTCACGTTCTATTGACGCCGTTTATCAAAGGCTCTCGGTGTTTGCAGACAACGTCATGATGTTCTTTCTCAGATGTCTACTTTTGTATGTGATAACTTTGTGTCATCGGTTGTGTATGCGATACCAGAGGTGTATGAGGTGTGTGGGTGTGCCATCGCTACTTTCGTCTGCCTCATTTGATTGGTATGTTAAGACTGATTTTGCAATTGACATGTAATTTCGGCTGTAGAAATACTGATCAATACTATTAACTCGATTACTGAGGGCTTAAAATGTGCTCATTGCTATGCCTTAGGTCAACAAATGGTTTTGCTCACATGGATATATTGTCTAGCCGTGTGCCTTCACAGACCCCGATGTACATTTATCGGTCGTAGATGCCAGGCACTGTTGGTAATGTCGTTTAACAAAGGAACAACTTCGGGCTTTGTGTAGGACAGATGGAAACAAGCTCTGCAATATTTGTGACCAAGTGTATGAGCAGACATGATATACCGATGAATTTTTACAATGTGTCATGGGAAAAATCGATGGCGACTTTCAGCAGACCAAACACCCGCTATTTTCTAAGCGATAAGATAACAAGGACGCCCTGCCCACTACCCATGCAACGTTACTCCGTCATGATTGTTTTCCATCCTTTTGGCATAGGTTTTTCAAAGCATTACAAAGGTTTTTAGAAAAGTTCAACCAAAAAGAAATCCTCCAGCGTGACGACTTTTTTACAGGCGTGGGATTTCGCAACTCACACTACCAGCGGTGCCGCAAGCCGGTTAAGTGTCGCTGGCCAGAAATCGCATGGCTTCAGCTCCTTGGCCGGTGCGATGAGTTTCTTTTCTTGAAGTACACGCGGCCAGGTGACCAGGTGACATATCCAGGCAATCAGGTGTTTTGCCGTTAGGAGGGTTACAGCTACAGGGAAGAGTGGCAACATCATTGGACGTGTCAGGAAAGGCATGCCACTCAGACTCCTAGTCGAGCTAAATGTTCGAGACAGAGACAAACGTGCTGCCACTATTGAGATGAAGCCGGCCTGATTTCGACCATGCAGGCCGGAAAATGGTAACAATGCCTAAGATAATACCTCCCGCCGAGATACCGCGAAGAAAGGTTTTGGAGCAGGAGTATAGCTTTTTATTAAGGTTAGGAAGACTAGCCCGCTAACCTTGAGATGAAAAAAGGTTAAACCCGAAAAATCCCCGCTTTTTATATTTCATTTAGGTGCTTTCAAGGGCAGTTATTTAGCCATTATCTCCGTTCCATATAGCCATAGCCATATAAAGCCACTATCCCCGTTCAGCGTCCCCAACGCTGATTGCAAAACTATAGCCCTGTGTTGGAGGTTTTATGACCGCGACAGGTGCCAGATTCGCCAACACAGTACCTCACCGCCCAGCCCAAAACGCTGCTCTAAAGAGGAGTGGCTGAGTCAAGAGGCAGGTGGATCAAAATCGCTTTAAGGGGCATTGGCAGCCTACACCAAACACGTGCGGCACACCAATTGTCAAGGATTTCGATGGTGTTAAAGACCACTTAAGACTGCATAGGATTTTCACACCTGCATATTGCACAAAAACAAAATGCCCCGTTCAAAATTTGTATCTGAAGTGCTGTAACTTCGGATTTAAGAACCGTTATATTTCTAGGTTATAAGTCTGAAAACAGAATGCCCATCTCATGCCCCCAAAGCGCAGCCTGAGGCCTGTGAAACCCGAAAGGCATTTCCAAAAGAATTTCGAAAAACAGGGCGAAAGCACGCTAAACTTTGCAAAACTATATGCAATTAAATAACGGACATTTTGTATGAAAGAGATTTGTCATACAATCCCACAGGGAAGATGGGCGAGGGGGGGGGGGGGCTGCTCTCTCGGCACCCAATATGGCAGAACCCGTGCATGCCACACAAACACTGAACCGGTCTACCGCGCACTCTACCGTTTCACATGGGACAGACGTGTCTGGCATTAGTATGGTACAATGTTAAATAGATGGATCCTTTTTATGAAGACGGTACCGCCTGACTGAAGGCTAAAAAGAATTAACTTCATTGGTGTGAATACTTATACTGTAATACTCTAAGGTATTGGTCTTTATTTCGTTGAAATTAATAGATGACCTCGCTGGACGGTGTTTCTGCCACTGATTGAAATGGCTCGTAGCATTTTTAAAGCTAAGGTATTATTCTCGATGAGCAGGTTTGCGGAACCGCATCTCTTTTCCCATGGTGCATGCAACATTTGCAGCAATGTGTATAGTTTTCCCACTTCCATCCCTTTTTATGACACCTTTCACGTCCCATTTGTATTGCTAGCACCAGTCCAACTCTCTCGAAAGTCACGTGACAGTTGCTTTGCTGAAGGTGTAAGTCTGCGTGAGTAGCCCAGTAGCCTTGGATCATTTCAGAAACCTCACAGTGGGCGTTGCATGTGTCTACACAGTGGCCATTTTCCAGTTGACCAACGCCAGTTCCTTCCAATGAATGCCGATAACAGCCGTTCGTTCGAACACGCCTGTGGGGGCAGCCCCAAGCGAACGATTAACGATTGTACTCATCGCAGACGACCGGTCTCCCCCCTTCTCTCTCTCTCTCCCCCCTTCTCTCTCTCTCTCTCTCTCTCTCTCTCTCTCTCTTCTCCTCTCTCTCTCTCTCTTTCTCTATCTCTCTCTCTCTCTCTCTCTCTCTCTCTCTCTCTCTCTCTCTCTCTCTCTCTCTCTCTCTCTCTCCCTCTCTCTTTCTCTCTCTTCTCCTTCTCTCCTCCTCTCTCTCTCTCTTCTCTCTCTCCTCTCCTCTCCTCTCTCCTCTCTCTCTTATCTCGTCTATCTCTCTCTTCTCTCTCTCTCTTCGCCCGCGACCGGCCCCACCGCTCTCTCTCTCTCTCTTCGCCTGCACGTTGGCGGGTTCAACAGAGCGACCGGCCACCGTGCTGAGTCTGACTACATGACCGACGAAATCGTGCCAGGCCGTGCCGCGGGGTCAAATTGGCCCTCCTCCATTGCCGGCACAGTTAGCAGTTCAGGACAGCAGTTCCATGGGCTTGCATTACCGACATAAGTCGCAGTTCAGATAGCAGGCCCATAGACTCATATGGCCCACACAGGCCGCAGTTCGGGACAACAGACCCATGGACGCACATTGCTGGCACTGGCCGCAGTTCAGGGCAGCCGGCCCATGGACTCACATTGCTGACACTGGCCGCAGTTTAGGGCAGCCGGCCCACGGACTCACATTGCCAGCACAGATCGCAGTTCAGGGCGCCGGCCCCCGAGCTCACACTGTCAGCACTGGCCCCAGTTCAAGGCAGCCGGCCCATGGGCGAGCTGGTAAGGCCGCCCTCGGAGCTATGCTTGCCATCCGAGCTGTGGCGGTCGCTGTTGATGTCGCTGGACGTGCTGGAGGAGAGGGTGGTGGTGCTGCCGTACGGGTCGAGCGAGCTCTGCACGGACAGCTCGCGCCGCCGGCTGAGCCGCTTCGGCGACGTCTTGGCCGGCTCTACGCTGCTCGGGTCGGCCTGGAAGGCCAGCGCGTTCATGATGATGTGGTCCGGCACGATGCCCAGAGGGTGGATGTCCTTCATCAGGATCGTGGCCGGCACCTTGTGGAACTGGATGTACTCGAGGAAGGTGGAGATCACGTCTCGAAGGTCCAGGTTGGAGTTGTCGCAATACTTCTTCGACCACATCAGCGCTGCCTGGTGACAGAATGTGCAAATCAGAGCCGGGGTCGTTTAGACAATCATCTTTCTCTCCAGAAGTGGAGCAATAGCATGCTACCAATAAAAGTTGTTGCATCTAAGCTGGCGCTTGGGCTTCCAACCTCATCCGTGGGGGTTTGCCCATCCTTCCTTTCGACCATGCACCGCTCATGCTTATAGTATGTGCTTGTGGTATGAGCATTGTCACAAACATTCTGCGTTGAACAGTCAAGTAAGCATGGATGAATGCAAACATCGTTTAACATATCGTTTTAACAAAACATAAAACACAGTCACGAATTTGTATTGGAACATCGGTCATTCATGGTTCAGAACACAAAGGTACTGGGACAGACGAAAGATAACACTGGGTTATTCCCCCGCTATGAGGGCTCGATATTAGCGTGGAAACCCAGCCGCCGAAGTTGTTGCGCGATAGTTGCTGTCGGTCGCCAGGTGCGCGGCACAGCCAGCCCAGCTGAACAATTTCGTTACTGATTGACCCGATAACGGTTTCTATTATTTGATTGCACTTATCAAATACAGTTGTCAACAACCCCAAAATGCTTCCACTCATCCGTATTGATCGAAACTAAATTAATGCGTTATGAATTTCATGGTCGTGTCCGGATGTTCCATCTTGTGAAACGTTGGGAACTGTTTTCCCGGTCGGTCAACTTTTTGTATAGATTTATTCCGAATACTTCTAGTAGCAGGTGACTTCAGGTTCAGAGCGCCTGCTAAGCATAGTTTATTGCGTGTACTCTGAACACACCACACGTTGCCTGCTGTCCAGTTCAACGGATGATTTTGCTTCCGCCCTTTTACAAGGCAGGAACGCGGAGGGTCCCACGTACCGCGTAACGCTACGGCACGGCCGCCGCGGGCCCTGGATTGACCCTCGTTGGCCACTTGCCAGCTGACCTTTCCATTTCAGCCGGGCCAAACAATGCGCCTGCTCTGGGACCCATACCCAGTGCCGCTGGGTTGTGACGCGAGCGTCTCTCCGCTAGACCATGGAGACGCCAAAATTCCACTTGGACTCCATGCAAAACATTCATCGTGGAGCTGACAAAACCGCACTTGAGCATGGCTTCCCTGGGATCCCCACGGAAAGCGCGCGGAGAGAGCGCCTTCTTGTGACAGGCAATGCAAGACGTATGACGCGGGAGCTCACAGCACAGCGTCGGCCCTCCTGATCACATTCATGTTACAAGCGGGCGCGGTCAGACCGCCAAGCCGCCAGCGCGAAGTAGGCAAACAGCGGCACTGGACCACTCACTTGGAACTTGGTCAGTTCGTCGGCGTTGAGCTCTCGCACCAGGATCAGTCGGACCACGTGTTGCGGCAGCAGCGTGAACGAGCCTAGGCTCAACACCTCGTTGCCATGGAGATCCACAAACTCCAGCACCTGCGGCATGTTTGGACGATGGCGCATTTGTCCAAATGCTCTTGGACGGCTCACTGTAGGAGGGGTTTGGTGGTGCTGTGTAATAGTCCCCTGAAGACGAACCTACGCATAGTTCGAAACAGGTTCGTCAAATGTAAACACAGCCAGTTCGCCTCACGTCTGCGATTAATTTTACAATTCGTGAGCATAGGATATTTCAGACAACAGTTTACAGATGCTGCTGTGCAATCCTCATAAAATTTCCTTCATTGACGCACACGTCCTACCGTGTAGTACAAATTCCCGAACTGAAACACGCAATGGCTGTTCAATACAGAAGTGGCAAACAATGAGGTCTAAAAAGACGGTCGTGCTGTGCTTGTATCATGCCTTGCAAGGGCACAGCAGGCAGATACTGGAACGCGCCGTTGTCGAGTGAACTATTTGTAGACCACGCGAGACGCCATCAGAAATTAGACGTTACATTTGCATTATGGTGATGCGTATTACAAACGTGATTATTCCAGCTCATCGCAAAAAGACGAAACGCTAAGTAAGAGTGCAGAAGGGAGTACTAGAGACACATGCATACAAATTACGGCATGTGTGAATCCCGACCTACGCTATGCTCATATACACATACCACCAAAACCATTTTATGGCACGATGCTGCGCTCGCCGTGACGCCAGATCAACGTCATCAGCTATCATCCTCATATCATCACCCACATTAATAAGAAGCTCCACCGCCTCCTCCTCGCATCCGAATCCTGTACTTCTCGCCCCGAGGGAAGCCACAGTACGCCCCGTCCCCCCCCCCCCCCCGTGCCGCACTCCTTGTATGAGTATTGATCCTGGGGTGGTGAGATGTATGGGTCGGGGTGAGATTAGCCGCCGAGATTACACCTGCGTTTTCTGACGCCTCGCATCACCTTTTGCACCATGGACTTGGTGCACTTGTACTGTATGTAGCGTTCGGCCGAGGCCAGCAGCGCGCAGACGGTGTCCACGTTGATGCAGCACTGGACGAAGCCGGCGCAGGCTCGCCGCAGCTCGTCCAGTCCGTAGTAGTCGGCGGCGTTCATCAGGCCTGCGACAGTCCAGCTCACGCGTCACTAACGCGTCACACCCGTAGCAGTCTGTCATCAGAGCTGCACCGCGACAGCTGGCGCGCACGCGCTGCTCGGGGTACACTCACCCAGCAGGGTCCTGGGCTGCAGCGTAACACAGCCGGTGTGAACGTACTCGATGAGCTGGCGGAACACGTCCGGCTCGAACTCCTCGATGATCAGGGTCTGGTGTTGACTCTGCGACGGCTGCGGCATTCAGACGGAACGTGAGGGACCCGAACAACACCAAGCGTGTCTCAGCAGCACGCGGGGCACGTGAACAGAGCGTGGCGTACCTGCACAGCGTGCATTGGGTCCAGACGCCAAGTGGCGGGTGTCTCAAGTCACGTGATGCATTTAGAAAGCACGTGAGAAGTCTGAGCAGCACAAGGGATCAGAACAACACGTGAGGAGCAATAGCAGTACATGATAATAATAGCAGCACATGGGTTCGGTTGACGCGGTGGGGGAGTCGAACAGTACGTGAATAATTAACGGAGCATTCGAAAGTCCTTAGTTTTACGTGAGGAATCTGACCAACACGTGAGAAGTCTCAACAACACGTTAGGGGTTTGAGCCGCACGCGAGGAATTCAAACGCACGTGAAGAATATCAGTGATATGTCTGAACAGCATATGATCAGAGGGATTCAAAGAGCACTGAACAGGAGCTTTAAACAGCAAGGTATCTGTAACACCTGCGGAAGGTCGTGAAAGAGCGCAATAAGCCCAGACAGCACGTGAGATGTCCGGACAGCAGGACGTGAGAGGTCCAAACACCACAGGATCTTCTTAACAGCTTGTGGAGTTGCGAACGGCATGCAAGGAGCCCGCTTAGACCGATGCAGCAGATGACGTAGTTATATGAGAGGGTAAGCTTCTATCCAACGCTCTGGCACTCGATGTAATACCGTTGAGGCAACCGTAAGCAAATGGTGACGTGGGAACCTTGACTACCTTTTAATCGTCTTCAGTGCAACGTTCTTCACGATAGGATCAGGTAATACCTGTCTGGTTACGTAACCATTGGGTCGCTGATGACTGATGTCAGGTGCATGAAATGTCAGCACGTCCATCCGCGAACAAAAAGCTGTGGTATTATCAAATGCAAACATTATTTGAGCGAGTGAAAAAGGGGTAAGCGGGAGATTTGGTGGCAATTTGCAGGCACGAAACGTTCACAAAAGACGATGCAGGCATAAATGGCTTCTACCTGTGAACCCAGGGCTGTAACATACTGAATGAACGCTGATAGCTGAGTTGACAGAGTCTCTTTGTTAAGCCAGCGAAAGCAACCCTTCGGCTGGGCTTCTCCTGTCTCGTCCATCTAGATGGCCAAAATATCAGGCTGCGGCACTTTTTTCTGCTGCAAGTCGCTGTTGCCACCGTCATGTGCCAATGCTACGCCGGAGACGCACAGCTGGAGGCTCTGCACACAGGACGTCGGCGCGCTGATGCAGGGTAATGTCAAATGTTTATTATACTAAAGCCCTCTTCAATGCCGGGGCTCGATTGACATCAGTACAGCAACGTACATGCTCGTGGACGACGGATGGAAGCCTTTTAAGGGCAGTTCCACAACGCCACCCAATGAGCGTGACAGTGCGTCTATAGTCCAAACGTCACGACTTCCGGGGCGGCGAATCGCAGCACATCGCGAACCCCCTGAGCTGAAGAAGGGCTAGCGGGGCGTGTCAGACGCTAGTGGTGCCGGGCAGGGGGGACTGAGCCAAGTTTACCTCTGGGATGGTGGCAAGCTGCTGCGAGTAGCCGTGACGCTGTAACAGGCAGGCGGCCTCAGCTCACGCTGTGGCGCACACACCGTGGCGGCGCAAGCAGCACTCGCCCAAAACGAGTGCAGAAAGGCAGGCGGAAGAGGTGCACAGAACACAGACTTCGGCAGGGTGCTACGAAACGTACAACAGAAAACAGGACCCCTGAAGTGCGCACGCTCCCACGGCAGCTAAAGCCGGCCTGGAGATGCGGACATAGCGAACAAGCATTGCGTTTCTGTTAAACGGAGTAAACCGCCGCCGAACACCGAGAGTTTCTAGCCATAACCATACAAATGTGATTTGGTTGCAAAAGTTGATGGCGAAATTTCGGCAAACAGGCTGGTTGTCCTGACATCATTTCCTGCAGGGGAGCCGAACGTCCCAAGGCTTGTCACGTCCGGCTCTTCGAGGAAAGACCAGCGACAGTCAGCAGGTGCGAAGTACACGACAGTCCTCCGCCCGAATCTAGTGAAGTCACTCAAACTTGGGACTTATCAGTCGTTGGAATTGTTAAGACAGATAGAGAGACAGATGAAGTTTTAGACAAAATATTAGACAGACAGAAGAAGATGAAAACGAAAAACGTTACGGCATTCACATTCACACACTGATAGTATTCGGTGAATTACAAGAGTGGTTTGCGGAAGTTGAATACGAATTGTAGCAAGCAGCCTCGTTATTCTGACCTTTTCCGTGGTATTCTGAATGTTTAACAATGGTTCACTGCTTCTCTTCAGAAAGAGTCTGAGCTTGTTTTCTTTTTGGGGTTGATCCTTCTTCCTCTGTGGCGACGATGATGAATAGAACATTTTGTGGAATACCCTAGAATTAAACAAAAATAGGCACGTATCAAATAATGTCAGCTACGTGAGACGCCGGGTGAGCAGGAGTGCTTGCGGCAAACCGCTTGACTTGTTTTTAACTTTAAAAATAAGAAATAAGTTGACTTTAGCCAGGCTTCAGCAGGCAATCAACAGCGCTTACAGCAAATAACATTATTCTGTCCAAATGCACGTAATGTGCTCTCAGTCAGTCTACTTTTCCCCACTTTACATTTGTCCTCAGACAGTTTCAATACCAAGGAACGTCTTACCCATCCTTTGCGTATATTGTCTGGCCATAATGTCATAAAAAGACAACCGAACCGTAATCAAACTCTGCGACATACCCAAGTGCTGTGCTTTAGTTCCCAGATGACCCCGTTAGGCCTCCGCTGACTCGTGGCCCCCTGTCTGGGCTGAACAGACCTCAACTGATCTGACCTGACCTGAACGCTTTTCAGCTGACCTGACCAGGACTAGCCCATGTTCGACTGACCTGGCATAGATGGCCTTCATCTGACCCATCCACTTCGATGCGTTCTACTAGTTCGGGTGACCTGACATGACGCGGAATGTCCTGACTATCTGAACCAAACGGATTCAAGCTGCCATGACCTGACATGACCCAGCGATACTGACCTGCTTCGCGCGGCCAGCACGGCCCGCACTGCACACACCGGCTCCCGGGTGTCGCCCACCTAGGAACGTGACGTCACACAGCTCGGGCATGCTGGCCAGGAACTTGAGGTCCTCGGCCAGGCCCGTCTTGTTCTCGAAGATGTTGTAGTCGGGTTCTTCGGCTAGTGCTTCTGCCATGGCGACCAGGTCGATCATGAGCTCAGTGAGGTCGCGTGGACTTGGTCGCGTGGTCGCGTGGGGGCCTCCGTCCGCGGCCCCTGTCTGTCACATTCGCTGTCGGTGCCTGTCACACTTGCAATCTCCGTCTGTCACGCTTGCCCCAGCCACCTATTACGCTTGCAGTCTCCGTCTGTCACGCTCGCCGCCGCCGCCTGTCACGCTTGCAGTCTCCGTCTGTCACTCTAGCAGCAGCCGTCCCCAGTCTCGCTTGCAGTCTCCGTCTGGTATGCTCGTCGCCACCACCTATCACGCTTACAGTCTCCGTCTGTCACGCTCGTCACCGTCGCCTGTCACGCCTGCAGTCTCCGTCTGTCACGCCTGGGTCCTCGATGGAAGAGCTGCGACGCAGTGTGGGTAACCGCCTGGTGCCCACCAGGTGACCGTGTTGTCTGCACCAGAGACGCCTGCCGCCTGGCCGTCTGCGCCTGTGACGCCTGCCGCCTGGCCGTCTGCGCCTGTGACGCCTGCCGCCTGGCCGCCGTCTGCCTGGACGCCCAGGCCTGCATCCGACCCGGCTGCGCGCCCGGGCCGCCCGCGCAGCCGGGCCCGATCAATGCGCGAGCCGTCCGCGCCGGCCACCTGTGGACGGACCGGACCAGCCCGCGCCTCATCGATTCACAGCTTATCCCCACACAGCACTGGAGCGAGAACGGACGCAGCACTGGAGCGAGAACGGAGGGCGACAGGGAGACGATCGTCGCTCCGTCGGCGCCAGCCGCGCCACAGACGTCACGGTCCCGGTCTGGGGGAGTTGCTCGGACCGGGCGCACGTGTGAGGCTGACAGGCCTCGCAGATTGGTATCCCGCGCTGCCAGGATACATAGTAACATTGCGAGTATAGCCGTGTAACATGCTTGATGTTTCATTGGTTTGTGGTGTTATCAGCCGTGGGCGTGTCCTTTTCGTCAGAGAGAACTCCTAACAAAATTAAACATCGGTATGATGTGTACTCATCGACTCACCCCCCCCCCCCCACCCCCCTTAAAAACATTGTTTGTGCCTGTGGTGTGATTGTGTGGGGTGTGCGCGCTCGCTCTCGCTGTCTTCCGAGCTCTACACCTGACTGGGTGCCCGGGGACGTCACGTGACCGCGGGTCTCCCGACTCGCAGAGGGTCAAGGGTCGGTCGCTGAGACGGCGGCAGGGGGAACCGACGCTCGCAGGTACCAGTCGGTTCTTGGACGAGTACAGGCGAATACGTAATACGTTCTCTTACAAGCTATTTCGACGATCATGCCCGAAACCGCCGCGGACAGTGGCGACGCTGTAACAACGGCTGCTGCGAGTGATGTCGACTATTACGGCCGGAGTGGACAGAGGGTGACTGGTGGAGGCCCATACGATGCGCGACTCACCCCCGGGTACGATGGCACGGCCGACGTCGTAGAGTGGTTCACGAGGGCGGCCGTGCTCTGCCGTTATCGTGGAGCAGACTTGCCCAGCATTCTGACGGCGCAACTCACGGGTGGCGCGTTTACCGTCTGGCTGCAGATGCCGGAGGAGCCGCGCGCATCGAGTGACGCTTTGCGTGACGCTCTCTATGCCGCCTTCGCGATGGATCGGTTTGCCGCGTACGACGCATATACCAGCCGACGGCTGCTGCCTGGCGTGTCGCCTGACGTGTTCCTGGCGGACCTACGGCATCTCGCAGCTCTGTACGGTGGGGTTCCGGAAAACGTGCTCACGTGCGCTTTTGTTGCCAGCTTGCCCGACGAGGTGTGGAGGACTGTCCGCGCTGGCTCCCGGGCGGGGGTTTTGAGTCTGGCGAACATTCTGGTGCGAACCCGGGCAGTGCTGAGCGGTGGACGTGCCGGTGCGGCAGCGGCAGTGGCTGGAGCGCACGAAGAACGAGGAACTTGACAGGCGCGACCGGCAAGGCGACCCGTCCGGAAGTGCTGGACCTGCGGACAGGCGGTTCACCTGGCATCGGCGTGCCCAAACGGGAAGGGGGCTGTGTTAACGCCAGCGCAGTCCCGCGAGCAGTAGCGCGCGCTCTGCCAGTCGTGGCACTGCTGGTGGACCAGCGCCCCCGGCGTGCCCTGCTCGACACGAAATGTACGGACACCATGGTTCACGTGAGTACAGTGTTCAAGTGGTTGAGTGACGCCTTGAGCGGACGCTCTCGTCTCAGAACAAAGACGCATGGGGAGATGCTGATCAGACGCAGAATTGGCCTCATGCGACAGTTGGTCGACGAGTCCCAGCTCTCGGTGACCGTCTAGCTGGTGCGGTCACAAGACAATCCTGCCGACGCGCTCACCTGAGTTCCCCAGACCTGGCTGTGAGCAGAGTCTCGAGATGCGACTTCAGGCGCAGCAGCCGCCGCACCAACATGTTTTACGGTACCCCCGCGAGAGTGCGACTTTGACTACCGGGCCGGAAGAAGTCGCGGCGCCCCCGGCGGACCAAGAAACCGCTCACGAACTCACGGCAAGCGACATTCGTGCCCGGATTAAAAGCATGCACGAACGGACGGGGCACCAGGGGATCCGCCGGTCCCTGTGGTACGCCAGACGGGACCTCTTTGGACACGTCGCATGGGCCGACGTGCGAGCCGTCGTCAGCCAGTGCAATGTGTGCTGTTCGATTGACCCGGCGCCGACTCGCTGGCGGTCCGGCTCACTCGCGTCCCGACAACATGGACCTGGCTCGCGATCGGCGTGACCCATTGGCAAGGTCGCCTCCACCTCGCGACCGTAGACTGCGGTCCGTCCCGGTGCAGCATTTGGAGCACACTGCGACGGTCTGACGCGGCAGAAGTGACGGATCGTCTGCATCGAGTGCTCCTAGAACGTGGCGCGGCGGCTGAGCTTCTGCTGGACAATGCCACTGAATTTCGAAGCCGGCGAATGGCTGCATTCGCCGCGAAGAGGGGGGGGGGGGGGGGGGGGGGGGGGGGGGGGGTCGGCTGCGGTTTCGCGCGGCGCGCCACGAGGTCGGCGGCAACGGAATCGTGGAGCGCCACCACCGAACTAAAAAGGTGATGGTCGCCCGCCAACGGTGCGTGGTCAGTGAAGCGGTGCATCGGTACAATGCGACTTCGCGGGACGGTGCCAACTCGCTGAGCACGCCGATGGCGCAGGTATTCCGCGCAGCCGGTGCCGACCCGCCGACCGGTCAGCGCGCTGCCGAGCCCGCACCGTCGCTGATGCAGGAACCCGTCTCATCGTCATTTTGCGTGGGCGATACGATGTGGATGCGGCGCCAGGAGCCCGCCACACGGTGTACCGATGTGTCGCGCCAGGGCGTAGTTGCGCGGGTCATGTCGGACCAGGTGGTTGGGGTCAACGGCACACCCTGGCGCGTGCGGTGCCTGCGGCACCGGGACCCGCAGAAAGGCTCAGACGGAAGCCTTATGCCCGGCGCGGGTGAAGAGTTTGGGGACGACACAGGCACGCTGCCGATGACGAACATTGTGTCGGATCATGAGTGCACGGGAGGCGGTTCTGATCCGCCTGCCGTGCCATCAAGCCTGTTGGTCGCGGACCCTGCTGAGCACCCATCGCTATCGTGGAGCGACCGCGAAGAAGTGTCGAGCGCCAGTACGAATTCTGAGTCATCTGTGCTACGGTGAGCATTAATTAGATGAGTGCGGTGTGTGCAAAGATGACTTGTTCGTGTCCAGCAACGGTGCGGCGCTACCAACGCCTCGGCCGGATCCTCCAAGAGAGAGAGAGAGAGAGAGAGAGAGAGAGAGAGAGAGAGCGAGAGCGAGATAGGAG